AAGAAATTTTTTAAACTCTGACAACACCAAATTAATAATGTCATGGAGTATTTTCTTAAAATTGTTCAAAAAAAATTCATACCCACTTGAAAATTTGAGTACCCTTTTACAATCTAATTCAAAAAAATTCATACCCACTTGAAATTTTGAGTACCCTTTACAATCTAATTCAAAAAAATTCATACCCACTTAAAATTTTGAGTACCCTTTTACAATCTAATTCAAAAAAAATATACCAAAATTTATAACCCAATGATCATAATTTGCTTTCTATTCATAGAAAATTTGAATTGAAGACTCCTCTTGATGATCATATTACAATAATATAATACAATATAATATAATTATAATATAATTTTATGTGGTAATTATTCATAATAATTTAGCAATAGTTTATTATTTGGGTAATATTAAATAATTACTACATAAAATTATATTATATTATATTATATTATATTATATTATTGTAATAACTAAATGGAGGCAGGCCCATTTTCCAATTAGCTCTTAATTAATTGGGTTTCCAAATTAATGTCTTCATTTATTTCAGTCCAGAGCCTATTTACCTGGGCTCTAAAATCCATATCGGCAAAACATTATCCACTTCTCTCTGTGGCGCGTGATCACGCGTCTGCGAATCCTCATCCGATTTCTCCCGAATTCTACGCGGTCTATACCAAGAGTGTTAATCTTTCTTTCCTTGACTCGCAGAGAAAAATGGCGGAGACGAAGAGCGTGGGCGTGGTGGGTAGCGGCCAGATGGGTTCAGGGATCGCGCAACTTGCAGCCACTTACGGCCTTCATGTATGGCTCGTAGACACTGATTCCGACGCGCTCTCCAGAGCCACCACCGCCATCTCCTCCTCCATCCAACGCTTCGTCTCTAAACGACTACTCTCCGAGGCATGATTTTTTTTCGTGTTTGGTTCCCGAGAAAAAAAAAAAAGAAAAAAAGATTCCCGTATTACTATTTTTAATGACGATCATGTTAGAAGTTCATTTCTTAAAAATCACAACTGCCCATGTGCTAAATTTGTAACTTTCTTCTTTTTCTTTGCTATATAACTATATATAAAAATATGTGAAGTAATTATAAGGGACTCGGAGGTCAACTTATAATTAGTCTATATATTGATAGATGGTAATCGGAAAAGAAAAAAGAATGGTTAATTCTTTTAAAAAATGTTTGAATTTTTTTTTTTTTTTTGTAGGGTTTAGCCTTTAAATTTACGATTTTTATATGACAGGCAGCTGGTGCTGATGCCTTGGCTCGCATACATTTCACCACAAATCTGCAAGAACTTTCTTCTGTGGATTTTATTGTTGAAGCCATTATTGAGAGCGAAGATGTAAAGAAAAAGTTGTTTACTGAACTAGATAAGATAGCAAAGAAGTCTGCCATTTTGGCATCCAATACAAGTTCCATATCCATCACTCGTCTAGCATCATCAACAACCAGACCTCACAAGGTTAATAAATCAAATGAGAATACTAATTGTGCAGAGTTGATCTTCATTGTTTTTGGGTTTATTCTAGTTGATCTGCATTCATAATCTGATTAGGGGAGAAGAACATATGTGATGTGCAGGTGATTGGCATGCATTTCATGAATCCTCCTCCAATAATGAAGCTGGTTGAGATTGTGAGAGGTGCAGATACATCAGATGAGACATTTTATGCCACTAAGGCCTTGGCAGAGAAGTGAGTAGATAAGATAAGATACTTGCAATCTTTTACTAATAACTTCCTTTGTTCATCAATAGCTTGCTGCTTCATTTGAGTTTTTGCTCTTGGTTGCCATGGTTTGATGTGCCCCTTGAGGAATAGAGGGAAAACTGTTTTAAACATTCCCCTTCTCTATCATTTAAATGATATTTCTTCTACTCAAAAAAAGAAAAATACTTAATAATAATAATGGAATTTCTCGTAGATATCCTATTTTTTCTTGGGTTGGTCTGTTGGGAAAGAGCCTAGCAAGGTAGAAATTCTATTTTGGTTAGATACCTATTTATAGTACTAGAGAATTCGTAAGTTACGTAGTTATCGTAGGGTTACCATTAAAGTCGAGTCCAATTAATCCAAGTAATTGAGTAATCTATACTTCTGCATTTATCTTCATATACAAATATTTCCAAAAATCATTTGGTTTTCTCCATAGTTTTTGTTTTAGTTGCTGGAAAGTTTGAAAAAGTTCAAGGTTGAAGTATTGAAGCAAACCATATGTTTGAAATTGCTCTGATGAAAGGAGTAGCAGGGTGGTGAAGATTGTGTTTTCTTTTTCATTATTTGGAGTGTTTGATTAGTGAAATTTCAGGTTCAGGAAGACAATAATCTGCTCGCAGGACTATGCTGGCTTCATTGTGAACCGGATATTGATGCCAATGATAAATGAAGCATTTTATGCTCTTTATACTGGTGTGGCAACTAAGGAAGACATTGATATCGGAATGAAGCTGGGTACAAACCATCCAATGGGTCCATTGGAGCTTGCAGATTTCATTGGCTTGGATGTTTGCTTATCGATAATGAAAGTTCTCCATGCTAATCTTCAGGACAACAAATACGCTCCCTGTCCTCTTCTTGTGCAATATGTTGATGCTCGTCGTTTGGGACGAAAACAAGGTATTGGGGTTTATGACTATCGGAATCTCTCTCAAGAGGCAAAACCATCAGCTCGACTTTGAATTCTACCTTTAAAAATCCCAATCCGATGTTTCAAATACTGTAGATAGCAAGAACACCTTCAATAATAGGATATGTAGCTATCACAGATACGTAGAATGGAAAATTATGTCACTGCCACGTGCATTGTCATTGAACAGATATACTCTCTGTCCCCCAATTATTTATTGACCATTGGTTATGAATTCTATCATTCGACTTGGTTGAAGATAAGATTGAGAATCTCATAACCTTTAGGTAAAAGTTGAGAAACATTTGCTCATAAAAGTCAATCCCACATTATAAATATACAGTTGCTCTGTAAATTCATGCCAGCCAAACATCATTCTTTTTAGAGCAGTCTAGAATTGTCTCTCATCCATTCTACAAAGCAACAAGAATATTACTCTAGGATTGTTCAAATGGTAGAAAGCTATTAGACTAAGGACTGTAAATTCAAGGTAAAAGGTGACATGCTTTATTTGGTTTTTAGGTAATCTGGTATTACTACAATCAGATTAAAGTAAGAAGACAATAACTTTACCATATGGGTGAAAAGAAGAGTCTTTAATGTTTAACAACATGGTAGTGTAAATCTGTGGTGTGTTTATTGGCAGCCAGCTTAGGAATCTTTTATAATGTGAGACAAAGAAAATTAAAAAGCAGCCTATAATTTTCAACATATCATGCACAAGATGACCCACAGAGAAATTGGAGGAGCCTTGTTAGTTTCATTTTTGCATCATGGGTAGCCCCACAACCCTAAAAGATATCATTAATAACTTGTCTTCCTCCTTGAGGATAGTGATTGAACTGGAATCCAATGGGCAATAATTTATTTTTTTAAGAAAAGGAAAAAAATTGAACAGCATTATTATTAGGCAAGATAAGAAGAAAGAAAAAGGGTTTGCAAAAGCTTAAGCCCTTTCTTTCAAAAAAAAAAATACATAAAAGAGTTTTAGAGATAATATAGTCTTCTTCACCTGAGAAATAGTAGAAGTTGTCAGTGTTAGGGTAGAGAAAAGGAGCAATGAAGTTCTTGTTCCAATGTCCATGTTGCTCCTGTTTCTGCTTCATGAAACCACAGCCTGGAAAACCTAAAGTGAAGGATGCCAAAGAAGATAAGAAGAAAGAAGAAGCAAAGCCTGCCAAAGAAGAAGCAAAGCCTGCCAAAGAAGAAGCAAAGCCAGAGAAAAAAGAATGATTAAAATAAAAATGGCAGTAACCAGAAATCATTCCAGCTTTCTTCATTGTACGTACTCTACTGATAAGCTTTTCTTTTTCTTCATCAAAGTTTAAATTATATCATGTCTTGGTTTTGCTACAACTTATCTGATGCATCTCTATTCTAGTTGTAATTGCAATGTACTCTCAAAATAAGATACTGGTTTTGTCATTTTGATTCTGTTCTTCATATGGAAAATGTACTTTCTTTTGCTGGTTGAATAATTAGATCTAGCAGATCGAAGTTGTCCTAAATCTGATTAGGGTATCTTCAATTATTTACAGTGAAGTCAAGCATATAATTCCAGAATGTTGCATTTTCTACAGAATGTATTATTTTCTGGAATATATGACAGGTTTCTGCAGGTACCAGGCATACAGATCCAAGAATATACATCATACAGTTTGGATTAATGAAGATTAAAAAATTAAAACAGGGTTTTCTCTTATTTCTTTTCCTTAAATTTTGTCAAGCAGCCATTATTGCTTTCAAGTAATTTTCTTTTACCAAAAAACTCCATTATTGACTTGATAAAAATACTGATCACTGCTACTGGTTTGAATCATGTTTACCTCAAATCTTTCTGAGGACCATGATTCTTGAGATATCTTGGAATATACAAGACCCTTTTTTTTTCTGTTGCAGAGGGAAAAGAAGAAGAAAACTGAAAAGAAGAAAAGCATCTTGACTAAATTGCTTAATGGAAAAGTGTGTTATATTTTGAGTTTTGATTTCCAAATTGAGTAGAAGCTTACTTTTTGGTGTTTAAAGGATATAAGTAATTACCAACATATGAGCTATAGTATTCTAATGTTAAAATACAGTTAAGAAGGTAATTTATATATATATATATATAAATATATAATTTTTATAGAAAAGATTCTTATACCAACTAAATAAAATTTACCCAAAATATCTAATTTAGTCTCCAAATTTTGATTACTATTATAATTTATATTCAAAATATTTTCACTATCATTTAGTTCCTAAACTTTTAGATTTATTTTAAAAGCACTAATTTTGTTTCTCCTCGTAAAAAAAAAAAAATCAGAAAAATATGAGTCTTAAACAAAAAAAGTTAACTTACAAATTATGGGTTAGAGTAAAAAATACGAAAAAAATTAAAATAAGGTTAGAAAATCAAAATTATTATATTTGTTAGAAAATTAGAACTAAATTTAATACGAAAATAATAAAAAAAAATACTTACTTTTCTGTTCACAGAGAACAATTCTTTATTCTTAATGTTCTTGAATGTTTTCTCCAATATACTACTAGAGTTTCGGATAATTTTCGTACCTCAAAACTCAAATTTGTTTATGTTTTAACTCAACGTGAGAGAGAATATAAATATATATTTTTTAAGTGTTATCTGCTTCCTTAAAATATTATAAGTAATTTTTTTTTTATTTATATACTCATCAAGAGACATATCTTTTTATAATAAAATTGTCTCTTATAGGATCACGAAAAGTCGTCTTTTTTTATAAGAAGTGTTGTAAACGTTTATAATTTTATACAACAATTTTTTAATAAAAATTAAAAATTATAATTAGCATGATTAGTTGATCTCTTACTCAATTCTAATTAAAATTACTTCTTTTCAACATTGAGATTTAGTTAAAAATTTCTTACCTATAATATTATATATAAAAAACACATTTGATAATTAAACCTTAAATTAAAAAATAAATAATTATTTAGTGAAGAATAATATAAGAAAAAAAAAGAGAGGAAATAAATATGAATAGAATAAAAAATTGAAAGAAAGTAATTATTCAATTTCATACTTAATTTAAGTATTTATTTTGTAATTTATTTATTTATATATATATATATAATATATATATCTTTTTAATTTTCTTATTGTCGTCATTATTATTCTCTTTTATCTTTTTATTAATTTACATGCTTTCAATATAATTAAAAAATTATTATATATTATTTTAATTACAAATTTACATATTTTATTTATTAATTAAGTTATATTATATAAATTATTATAATTATAGAAAATTTATTCAGCACAAGGAAGAATGCACACGTCTCCTCAATGCCTTCCGCTTGGAGAGAAATGTTCTCATGCAGCCGGACCTACGGTAAGCCCAAAATCTTTGCAAATCATTGGGTGACTTTTTTTTATAATAAAAAAATTATTTTCATGCATAAATAATAAATTAAGTGATTCAGAAAATATTAATGAATTGAAGAATACCCATTTCAGGTTTTTATACAAAAAATCAATATTTGTAAAATCTAGACTCGGGTACATAATATTTTTTCTTGTATGTGTATGTATGTGTGTATATATATATATATAGCTATTAAATGACATCTTCCTACTCACGTACCTCCCCAAGTTGCAATCATGCATCCGTGACGGATTTTCACATTTTTTATGTTAGCCATGAATATCATATTAATTGAGCGGTAAATCAGCTGGTTTGCTTCTCATCATTCATTTTAATTGGCTAAAAATGGATCATTGCAGCATCTCATAGCTCTACTTTGTATCAGAGACATAGCCAGCAGCGGCCGAGAGGGATGTTGCCCGGCAACAGTTTTGATAATCGAATCAGCTCAGCCGCTCCTTTGTTGGAGGTGGTGAGTGGCAGCGGCCATGCCCATTTTCATGGAGGAGATGAACAGAGCAGACGCAGAAAGTGGTGGCCGTGGTATGGAGCGGCTGATTTTGAGGAGGCAAAGTCTCAAATTATGTTTGCATCTCCCATGATCCTAACCAGCGTGCTTTATTACTCCATCACCACAGTTTCGGTCATGTTTGCAGGCCATCTCGGCCCCATAGAGCTCGCCGGCTCCACCCTCGCCAATGCTTGGGCCACTGTCACCGGTTTTGCTTTCATGGTAACTGCCTGAGACCCATTCACTTTTCCTCTTCCTCTCCCGTGATTGTATATGTACGTATATGTACCAAAAATACACTCAGATTCATGTATATTCGTGTGTGTATGTTCATGGAATCGTGTGTTTCTTCATGAAAATTAAGAGAAACGTTTTGTCAAATACCTGAGAAGCATAATTTTGACCTTTTTTGAGTTTTCGTGGGTTAATGATGAATAAGTGTGTTCTTTCTCTGTTTCTCTCCCGAGCCCATCTTTCTTTTCTTAGATTCATACCCATTATTTTGTTCAAGAAATTTTAGGGACCCAAACCCTGAAAATGAAAATTTAGTGGAGTAGAGTTTCTCCATGCAAGTAAGAAAAGGGAGAAAAGCTTGGTCGGGTTTTGGTGTTTGTCTGTTACTTGCCTTTCTACATCATTAGGTATTTTTGTTTTATATGTATCTGTTTTATTTTCTCTGGACGGTAAATGCAAATTAGGAGAAGCAGACAAAGAAGATAAAGATAATGGCAATCAGTAAACACAGCCGAATGATTTGATTGGTTAGCCGCAAGTTCTTACTAGTCCTTGCTTCCTTGATGATTGATGACTCTCTCATTATCTTTCTTTATGTTTAATTTTCATTAATCAAACACAGTTTCTTAATTTCGTAGTCTTGCAAATAGATTAGTATTAACTCTTCTTTCACTTCAGCTTTGTTTATAGGGAAAATTGGTTTTATTTTGTTGTGCAATGTCCAGCCAGTACAATTGTTTTACTTGTTGGAGTAGGTTGCATGCCGTTGTTGACTTTAGAGCCTTATATTCATCTCATATGTAGCTAAGTTGAGCAGCAAAATTTATGCACTTACAATGATTTCTTTTAGTAATTATAAAGTGTTCTATAAGCACAAATAAATTGGAAAGTCTTTATAAACTTTAATTTTCATGTTAAGACTACCACTTCAATGCAGACTCATACTTTTGCATTGATTTTTTTTTCTTGTCTAATGTCATACTTAGGTAGGGTTAAGTGGAGCATTGGAGACTCTATGCGGACAAGGATTTGGTGCTAAGATGTACAGGATGCTGGGAATTTATTTGCAAGCATCCTGCATTATATCATTCTTCTTCTCAGTGGTTATATCCATTTTCTGGTTTTACACAGAGCCTGTGCTACTTTTTCTTCACCAAGACCCTCAAATTTCAAAATCAGCTGCTCTCTTCATGAGGTATCTCATCCCAAGTTTATTTGCATTCGGCTTTCTCCAAAACATTTTGAGATATCTTCAAACACAATCGGTTGTCATGCCACTGCTCTTCTTCTCCATGGTCCCATTTATCCTTCATTTCGGAATTGTTTATGCAATGGTTCACTGCACATCTCTTGGTTTCAAGGGAGCTCCCTTGGCAGCTTCCATTACATTATGGATATCAACCTTGATGTTGGCCTTGTACGTGTTTTGCTCAAAGAAATTTCAGCATACATGGGAAGGATTTTCACTGGAAGCATTTTGTTATATCCTCGCTGACTTGAAGCTGGCATTGCCTTCTGCAGCAATGGTGTGGTAAGCATCTCCATAACAATTGTTTGAAGAAACTGTCAAGATCATAGACTCTTACAAGTGTTTGTTTTTCTATTTTGCCAGTTTAGAGTACTGGGCTTTTGAGATCCTAGTGATTTTAGCAGGGTTGATGCCAAACTCGGAAATAACCACTTCATTAACTTCAATATGGTAAACCTTCATTCGTGATCATCTTCTTTACTTCCTTCGTCCATGTAATTTTTTGTCCAAATTTACCTTCATTAACAGCATTTTTTATTTTGCATACATTCAGTGTTCAAACAGAAGCAATTGCATATAATCTCACATATGGTCTAAGTGCTGCTGCAAGGTCAGTAGCCACAAAAACTTGAAGATTTGAACTGATTTGCCAAAAAACGCTCCTTGGTTTTAATTAGGCTTGGTTTTCTGCTAACAAAAACTACACTTCTTGACAGTACAAGGGTGTCAAATGAGCTGGGAGCTGGAAATCCAAATGGTGCAAAGAAAGCCATGATCATGTCCATGAAGCTCTCTGTCCTTCTTGCTCTTGTGATAATTACTCTTCTGGGATTTGGTCGTAACATATGGTCTGGCTTCTTCAGTAACAGCTCTGCAATAATTACGGAGTTTGCCTCACTTACTCCCTTCCTTGTACTTTCCATATCACTTGATTCTATCCAGGGTGTTTTATCAGGTCTAGTTGAAGTACTCGATCTGTATCTTTTCTATACAAGCAGCATCGTACTAAGTTACCCGGGCTTGTACTTTATATCGACTCATGTTTGTGATTTTGATGCTGTAGGGGTGGCAAGAGGATGCGGGTGGCAGCACTTAGCTGTGTATGTAAACTTGGGAATGTTTTATCTCATTGGCATGCCAATCGCTGGCTTTCTGGCATTTAAATGGAAGCTATATGTAAAGGTGAGACAGCCCTTTTGACAATGTAGCTAATCCATCTTGATGAATAATTCAACTACTCAATATCTACCACTCATCTTTTTGTGCAGGGGTTGTGGATTGGATTGATCTGTGGCCTGTTTAGCCAAGCTACTGCTCTGCTATTTGTTACATTTTGCAGAAACTGGAACAAGATTAATATCTCTGCAAGCATTGGAGATAAAGATAATTCTCAGCATGTTGTCACTTCACGAGATTAGTTATTGCTTACTTTAGTCAAATATTGACAAATTCTCACTTGAACTGTACTTGTTAAAATATCTTAATATATAGATATATATATATATATATTATATATATATATGACTGAGTTGTAAACACCATGCAGCTCTATCTTGGTAGAGCTGATTACTCGAACTCAACTCATATTCTTTATCTTCATCCATAATATCTTTAAATTATTAAACACAGTTTAAAACCAAATTTATCTCTATGTAAACTAACCATACAAAACTTTTTAAAAGTAATATATAGGACTGAAACTAGATCTTGTAAATTTACCGTATGAAGATATTATTATTTGGACTCACTACGAATATAATCACTGTATAACTATATAATTTCTCTAGAGTAACAATATGTAATGGATTATTCAATCTAGTTGCATATTAGTTTTGAACTAAGTCTTTAAAACACTAAGAATAGATGACATTGAATGGCCTAACTGCTCAAAATCTATGGTCAATAAAAAAATGACATAATTTTTCGGTTGCGCTAAATTGGATTTGGATTATTGATCTTAGTAGTGAGTATAAATAGTGTAAGTGCTATTGAATGCCAAAAATGCTATGAGGAGAATGATGGCGTGCGGATCTTTTCTAGTGCTGAAGCATGTTGACAAACCTAACGCACGTTGTTGTGCGGCCGTGCAAACTATAAACAAGATGGGTGCTACCACTAAAGATCGTAGGGAACTATGCAAATGTTTTACAAATGCTGCACGTTTCATTGATATCAAACGTAAGGAAGCAAAACAACTTCCCTCTCGTTTTGGTATCTCTCTCCCGTTTTTCATTGTTTAAGATATTAACTGCAACAGCTAACTTTTAACTCTTTTAATAAAATCAATGTAGTTAAAAGATATGAATGTTAATTGATTCTTTATTATGTCTTCTTATTATGATGTGCAGGTTACCGTGATCCCACTAATAAAGAGATATTCTATTATAAGCTTCTTTTATTATGTATAATTGAAGGTTCAAACGAATGAAAGTTCTGTTTATTATTTATGTTTAAATTTTACTCAAATTTCTCATAATTTTTAAGCCTAGAGTTATATAAGTTGACATGATAATAATGCCGTTATGTTTTAAAAAGATAAATTAATGATAATATAAAATAATAATATGATTGTTTTCGTAACAAATATCACAATTATTTTCATTATCGCTGTCCTTATCTTTGCCATTGCTATTGTTGCATCACCGTTAGTGTCACTACCATTCCCGCCATTGACTTCAATTAAGAAAAGGTTGATATTATCTTTTATGCAATAACGATAATTGTTTTCTTAACTTTTTCATAAATATGGTATGATAATAAAATCTATATGTGAAACACACTATTCACCATGTTATTCACGAGCCAAATGTAATAAAAATTTAAGCTTAGAGAAATATTTGTTTTTAGTTATTAAAAGGTTGCGATATATCTACTAGGTTTCTGTCATCTAAAAGGATTATATGCTCTTTATAATGTTGAAAGAATTTAAACATTTAACTTGTAAGGATCGAGATAGTATTTTTTATTAATGGTAAAAAAATAAATAAATAAATTAAAAAATTCTTAAATATAATTTTTATTGATTTTTAAAAGTCGGTACAACAGGTAAAGTTTTATAATTTGTGTACAACCTATATTTTACATTTATATATTAATTGCATTATAAACTTAAAATCAAAGTGATATTATGTTATGCATATATATCAAAACTCAATTCTAACAAAAAATTCTTATCAATAAAGCCTTAAAGTTAAGCCATGTAAACTCCATCTTGAAGATCATCATGTAGGAAGGTATTAGAGATATCAATTTAATGTATCTCTCACTTTAGTGAAATCGTAATCACGATAATCATTCTAATTATAGTGAATTTTAGTACTTGATCAAAAGTTCCTGAATAATTCAAGTATCCTCTTTGCAAATATCATTTAATAATAAAACGTATTTTGGATATGTTATTTAACCATCAATGTTTTTTTATTTTGTAAATCCATTTATTTCTCATCAAATTACACTTTATATGACAAAAGACAGGATCACATGTATAGTTTTTAATTAAGATATTAAATTCCTTATACATGAAAATTCTCAATTCTTGATAGATTTTGGCTTGGGAAAAGGTAGATGGCTTATGGAGGATGTTGGTCGTGTAGTTGCTTAGCTTTTTGCCATGGTATGTGATTTTAAAACCATGTTGCATGTCCTACTATCAAGGTACGAGAACTAAATCTAATTGGAAAGTGATAATCGGTTAGGTAACTAACTTAAGCTTAAGGCTACGAAAAGATGAAACATTAATACAACCTGATGCTATAATAATGCAATAAGGGTGGCCTGGCTCATAGAAGGGTGACAAAAATAGAGACTAGTTGTACATTATCTTTGGATTTTGAAAAAAAATTGGTAAGACATATATAGAAGATTATAGCTATTATCATTAAAGGTAGACTTATAATTAAATTCGACCATGACATAGGAAAATAATTTCGTTAATCGTGCATGGCTTGCAATATATATGCATTGGTTTAAATATCAAGACACTAATGACTATAATGGCCAAGAAAAGATTCAAAGACAAGTTAAGATGTCAAAAAAAATGAGAATTTTATGCTTATTAGATAAGTGTGGGAGAGAAAAATACTTAGATACTAAGAAATCTTAAGTTATAAGCAGTCATGATTTGTATTATTAAGGGAATATAAGGGAGATTTCATCGAGAGAGCTATAGACGGAAGGAAATTAATGAGGAAAGCCACTCGTTTGAGTGCACAATGCCAATATCTAAAAAGGGATATGTCTATAGGTTAACAGTTTAAGACGAATACTATTACGTATTTAATTTGTGTTTCAATATTTTTATTATATTTATCGGTGACATATGAAATGACAAATTATCACTAGATGATGGAAGTAGGAACTCGGGTTTTAAAATTCTTCACCATCATCCATTTAACTTTCCTAAATCTATTGAGGTTTTGGGAAATTACTAATCATTAAGCCAAAAGATAATCATCTTGTATATAATAATTAATGAGAACATTATAGTTGAAAAAAAAAAAAAGATATTTCGTACTATAACATGCACACCACACACACGCAAAACATGTATACATAGATATATAATATAAACTTTTGTACGTCTTACTTTTGAAAAAGTATTTCGAGATAATTATAAGATAAAAAAGGATACTCGAATTATTTTAGTTATTACTATATAAATTTCAATATATACATACACATATGTTTTGAAATATTATATATGGGATTAACAAACTCATATGATGAAAACTAATTAGGAAGCGTGTTGGTTAAGCTATCAAAATTTATACTCGGTTGCCATGAAATTTTTCATCTAAATTATCTCTTCACCATGTATAAACAGTCATGACAGTCTGCCTTCTAGCTAATTAACGAACTTTCTCGAGCCTTATAAAAACGAAAACACTCTCGACATTTTTCCTTGCACACGCAAGTACGCGTGCACGCATATCTTATTTTTTCTTTTTTACGTTTTCTTAAACCCTCTCATAATATAACCCCATTTTATATTTCACATTTATTCATTAATTATCGTTAATTAATCGAGATTAATGGCTTCGAATAACAAGGTTTTGGTGGCGGTTTTAATCGCTGTGATTGTGGTGTTTGGATGCCCGGAAAATGGAAAAGCAGATCACTTGGATGAGGGATGCTACGTGTCTTGCCATGAAAAGTGCATGAAGGAGCTTATTCATGCAACTCCTCATATTTGCAAGGATGAATGCGAGCCGCTATGTGATTATATGTTCGAGCATTCCCCACAATAACAATATATATATATATATATATCTTCATGATCATATTGATGATGACAGAGTTTATGGGGAGAGAAACAGATATATATATATATATATTATAAATGTGAGAGAATATTATTAAAGCAGAAGGGGTCACAAGATATGTGAATCTGTATTATATACATATATATATATATATATGTGTGTATTGTAATATGGCTTTGAGGGTTGGTTGTGCTGTAAACATAAAGAATGTGCTATGTATCATGATCATTTTATAGTGTTTGTATTACATATATTTAAATGCATGCACATTAATTTATAAGCAATCCATTTTCCCTTTAATTTTAGTATTTAATTGTAATGTATATATATAATAAAAGTTAGAAACTGATTAGAGTAATTAAAAGATCATATATCAATTAAGACAAGATTAAGAGAATATAATATATATATATATATATATATATATATATTACTATGAGTGGGAATTACCCTTTGTAAGTTTTAAAGCCAAAACTACTTCAAAACGTTGGAAAAGTCTAATTTGCCTGAGTGAATATGGATTTTTACATATATATATATATATATGCGTGTGTGTGTGTGTTTCAGAGGATAGGGCGTGGGTGTATGTATATGATCACAGAGGAGGAGAGGAGAGAGAGAAGAGGAGAAGAGAGAAAGATGGGGAGCGAGAAAAGTTGTGATGGAAAAACCAGTCCTTTGCTGGCAGGTGAAGGTGGAGAAGAAGCTGAAGAGAGAATGAGAGGTTGGTGGAGTAAAATGGTGGATGCCGAAGAGATCAAAACCCAAATAATGTTTTCAGCGCCAATGATTCTCACCAATGTCTTCTATTACTGCATCACTTTGGTTTCTGTCATGTACGCCGGCCACCTCGGCGAGCTCCAACTCGCCGGCTCCACTCTTGCCAATTCCTGGGCTTCTGTCTCTGGCTTTGCCTTCATGGTAATATATATATATATATATATATAACATGTGTATTAATGTGTGGACATCAGTGCCTGTTCTTCCTTGGTTTGAGAGATTTCTATAAATCCCTGCAATGGGTCACTTCAAAGTTGAAATCTTTATCATCTTTATTAGCTGATTCATGGACTTCAAGAACTTATTTTTGCTTCCTGTTTTCTAGTACTTCAAAAGACTTCAAGTGTTGTCTTTTCTAGTTCGGAAGAAATTCAATCTGGGGCTTCGTTTGAAACCGAGGCCGGGGGAAGATTAATTCTTTTATTTCCTAGAAATTTCAAGGATTACTGGGTTACATTAGCTGGTATCAAAAGGGTACTCTGTAGGATCTTTGTGATATCATGTAAACTTGTTAAATACGTGCGTGTGTGTGTATATATTTACATCAGTGCTTGCACTTCCATAATGAGGCCAAAGTCAAAAGCTTTACACTATATAGATTAAATATATGCAGCTGAAAATAAAATGGGTGTGTAAATGGTAATACAGAGTGGAAAAATTGTTGGGCATTACAAGGTGTGTGTGTGTATATATATATATATATATATATATAAGGCTTAACTCATTGGCTGTGTATGTCAAATTAGTAGATTTACAAGATCCCTGTTGTTGTTTGTTTGGATTTTAGACAGGATTAAGTGGTGCACTAGAGACCCTCTGCGGACAAGGATTTGGAGCAAAAATGTACAAGGTGTTGGGAATTCATTTACAAGCATCCTGCATCATATCATTCTTCTTCTCACTTGTCATATCCATCATATGGTTCTACACAGAGCCTTTACTACTCTATCTTCAACAAGATCCTGATATATCGAAATCAGCTGCCCTCTATATGAAATACCTTATTCCGGGTTTGTTCGCATATGCGTTCCAGCAAAACATACTGAGGTTTCTTCAAGCACAATCAGTTGTTATGCCATTGATTTGGCTCTCCTTGCTCCCATTGTTGATACATTTTGGTATAGTACATGCTTTGGTCCATCCTGCAGGGTTTGATTTCAAGGGAGCTTCATTGGCAGCTTCGATTTCGTTATGGATATCAACCTTGTTGCTGGTCTTGTATGTGTTTTGTGCCAAGAGATTTCGCCATACATGGCAAGGATTTTCACTCGACTCACTCTGGTATATCCACACAAACTTGAAACTAGCACTACCTTCTGCTGCAATGGTATGGTAAGCATCCTCAAAATTTTGTCGTAATTTGTCTATTTCACTTCCAAGCTATTTAATTTATGAGATTCTATTATATTGGCAGTGGGAATTAAACAAGAGAAATAGATCATAGTTCCTAGAATTGTTTGTAGCACATCCACCGTCATCTTTCCTGGGCGTAAATTGCCTGATTTTCTCGACAAGTTTTCCTTGTCTTGACATTGGAAAATCTTAAAAAACTGATCAAGTTGCCAAATCTTTTGCAGTTTGGAGGATTGGGCATTTGAGATTTTGGTCTTCTTATCTGGGCTGATGCCAAATTCAGAAATTACCACTTCACTGACTGCGATGTGGTGAGCTTCATTTAACTGTTTTCTCTTACTTGTTTTATTTCTCTCTTCCTTTGATCATTTCCAACTTTAGAGTACTCTGACTAACTTCTTGATTTACACACACACATATCAGTGTGAATACACAAGCGATTGCATACATGCTCACCTACGGATTAAGTGCTGCTGCAAGGTAATTAACTAGCTAGTTTAAAAAAGGTTGGCGATGTTCCATTGTTTTTAGTTGTTTATGTTTATATGTACATTCTGATTTGAGCAGCACAAGGGTGTCGAATGAGTTAGGAGCCGGAAATCTGGGGAGAGCGAAAAATGCGATGAAAGTGACTCTCAAGCTTTCTATTCTTCTTGCTATTGTTGAAACACTTTTCTTAGCCTTTGGTCATACTACTTGGGCTGGATTCTTCAGTGACAGCCCTTCAATTATAAAGGAATTTTCTTCAATGACACCCTTACTTGCCATCTCCTTGGCAATTGATTCTATCCAAGGTGCCATATCAGGTTGGTAAATTAACATCAACCTCTCCTATCATCTATTGATTATCGTAACCTTCCACCGCACATTTAGCTCCGGAACATTGTTAATTTAGTCTTTCTGAGTGATGGTTTGTAGCTTTTATTAATGTATGATTATCAGTTTGAGTTTAAATTAGTGGGATAATCAATTCTAATCTAGCTTTTATTCTGTTCGAATTACAATTTCAGTTAAATTCTACCATTTTTAAGAAGGTTGAGGTTTGTTAGTGACTGATTATGATTTGGTAGGGGTGGCAAGAGGATGCGGTTGGCAAGAGATAGGAGTGTATATCAACTTGGCAATGTTCTATTTTGTTGGAATGCCTGTTGCATGCCTTCTTGTGTTTAAATTCAACCTTGGTGTTAAGGTGAGATAACTCCTCTCAACAGTCTAATAATGTGTCTGTGTGTATATATACACACATATATAACCATTCTTTTATATATATACATATATATGTATATATATATTTCTGATTGTTCATTTTTTGGTGAATACAGGGGTTGTGGATTGGTTTGATATGTGGACTGTTGTGTCAAGGCAGCACTCTCTTGTTGATTACATTTTGCAGAAACTTGTCTAAAGTGAGTCTCACAGTGAACAGAGAGAAAGAACCTGATTCTCTCATCTGCTAAGAAATTACCCAACTTCTTATACATATACATGTGTGTGTGTGTGTTGGTGTTTATTTTCTGTAATAAAATTTTAATGGCTAAAAATGTATAGGCACTATACTTACAGAGGTGTAGTTGTAAAATAACTTAAACTGAACTAACTAGTGAGAATGACTAGTATTTGTAAGGCACCACTGATGCCGTTAAATTTGGTATTACATGCCATATTTAACTACACGTGATATCTTCTTATCGACTCCTGAAAGTAGATGCAACTCATATGTTATGTAATATTCAATGTAACACTAAAACTTTGGTGTATACTGATAAAAATAACTTGCAATATATAAGCCTTCACCTTCGACATCTATCAGACACCATTATCACTTCCTTTCTGCAAACTTGCATTATAAGGTAGTTGATTAAGAGTAGACACCATTGCCACTTCCTTCCTGCTAACTTGCATTATAAGGCAGTTGAATTAGAATGTTGACTGGTAATTGGTCACTCCATGAATGAGTATTGATGGGCTTGGGTGAGTTGCTCGACAAGAAGGCATGTAAAAGAAGGGGAGTAAGTCTGAGCTTGTGAGAAGAGAATTGGGATTTTCAGGTTAATATTGTCTTTTTTTTTAACTTGCAAACCGATTGGAACTGATTCACATGAAAAATTTTTTAATGTTACGAGTACAACATTTGATGTAGCATTCACTTCCACAAATGTCAATCAGAATGTGTCATGTGGAACAAAATCTCAATAATAAAATACTGTAGGAGAGGAATATTGTACTATGACTTTAGGTTCTTGTTCCTGAAATATGCAAGAATTTTTAGTTGGAGATATCATTGACACCATTGAAACTTCAACATTAAGAAAAACAAGTAAATTTATTGGTGTGTATGCCAGTTTCCTAGAAATTTCTAGGATTACAGAAGGGTACATGGTTGTGACATCTTGGCAATTTTATTACATGTACATTTCACTGCTTCAACTTCTGGTAATGGGTCAAAAAAGAAGCTTACACTATAAACTAGTAACAAACTTTTAACTCTGAAGAAATTGTTCATTAGTGTCCTTCCATGAAAGTTTGCACAAAGGTATTTTCACAGTTAAAATAAAAAATTTCAAAAAAAAAATTATTTTGTACATGGCTATGCCTTCTAGTAGGAATGATAAAATAGCTTTTCTAGGAAAAATATTTTTAGAAAAAAGTTGTTATATATTTATCTGTTTCAATCAAGCTGTTGGAGGTGTAAATTCACATACAATTACAGTTTGAATCTGCAAATGAACAATTGGATACCTTGTTTGGATTTGCAATGCATATATTTTGTAGGGAATCTCTACCCTCTCATATATGGACTTTTTAAATGAATTTCATGAACAAATTAATTTCCTCCAACATAATCAATGTTCTTCTAGTATTTGGAGGTGAAGCGCCAACAAAAAAACCACAATGTTGCATTTTGTTAGTCGAAAAACTAAATCGTTGAAGTTTTATTCACAAGCAGCAATAGTTAAAATTAAGTTTGTATATGTAAATAGGAGTTCAAACTTATTTGCACAACGAAAATCACATTAAAGTACCTTGTAGTTTGGGCACCCAAAAAATCTTCTGTTGAGATTCTTTGAGCTCTCTGATGTCTATTATGGGGCTTTAAATCCACATTAATAGTAGACAATTGAACCATCATAATCCACATCAGGACTTTGGCATTTGGGACAATATGAGGAACTTGAATGAATCGACATTAGGGTTCAACTATATTTCCCTTTAGTCGGGGAATAACAAATAACATAATGTGAACTGAATGTAAAACCAATATCACAATAACAATGTATAAAAATACAATTGTATGTTTTTCATGCTCCAATAAGAGTAATTGTTATCAAGACAAGCATAAAATGATTCATAATCATGAATTCATGGGATTCTTAGGAAATTTAGTGGATACCCATTTAGGTTGTAAACAAGATTCTGCCCATTCTTGTGAGGATTATAATTGGAAATGTAGAGAAATATGAAGTTAAAAGAACTTCTATGGGTCCATTAGAGCTGAAGAACACTGTAAGGAAGACTCTTCTATTGGATATTGGTGCATTGCAGAAAATCAAATCGAGTGAAATCAAGATTGTTCCTGGAATAAAAAATGTTTATAGAGACACAGTTGAGTTTGTCAATGGAGAAAGTCTTGATATTGATTCTGTTGTTCTGGCAACTGGGTATCACAGCAATGTTCCTTCATGGTTCAAGGTGAGAATTAGTATTTATTGGTCTGATTTTTCTATATCAATATACATTTTGTCTTGTTCACAGATCAAAATAGAATTAAATAATTGATAAGCTTCTTCTATTATCTATCTACTTCTATGTTTCTGTACTTCCAATTTGTATCTTTGTGTGGGGGAAACAATGGATATTGTGATTTTGTATTACACTCACACACTCTCTCTCTCTCTCATGTTTTGTGTTTTTTACTATCCTCACTCACTATTTTCATGCCAAATTCCACGAAAATTTTCTCAAAGAGAATAGAACTATACAAAAATCCATTTCAATATCTTCATCAAGAACATAACTTGACTCATCACGTCAGTATCCTACAATGGGTATACAGTTTACTTATAGCATGCAAAACCACTGGACACTAAAAAGGATATGGTGAAAATAACCAAACCAAGGCATCAGTATTGAAAGAATATTTATATGTCAACTTCAAATGTTCCCAAATCTAAATGGAGGCTCATTTCGGCATTTCATCAAACAAGTAATATGCAATGCACAACATTAAAACCCTGAGCCGTCCACCGCACTTTAATCAAAACTTTCCTTTCAACGTTTCATCAACTCTCAGAGAAATAAACCAGTACCGGAACAAAAAGAAGAATAACCACAAAGAAAGAAAGAAAAAGAGAGAATAGAAAAGGAAAAAGGATTGACCAGTATCCTTTCAACGTTGCTATGAGCGACGCAGAGTTGACCAGGAAGCAGAGAGAAAACCATCAACGCGGAGTTGCTATGAGCGATACCGAGCCAGGAGATGACTAAAATGGCAAGAATTTTTGGGGTTCCCTAACCTTAGGGCTCCAAGGTATGAGGACTTGAAGGGCGAGGGAAGAAGAAAGGGGAATTTCGAGGACAAGGATGGAATTTTCATAGTTTTAATCTGACGAGGTGCTGATGTCATGCGTCACGTCATTGATGACCTGTCATATTTTTGACACTTCATCAACTATGTGTTACTTAACTGTCGTTAGAGTGCTAGCGCTACGTTTTGATAATTTTTATGATGATTAATTAATGTATATAATAAATAATTTTAAAATTTATATTAAAAATTTAAACATTTATATTTTAATTTTTTTATTTTATTTTATATTTTATATAAATGACTAAAAAATTATTAATAAATTTAACGGATATTACTTCATTAATTTATTATCGATTATAAGTTGCTCGATTAATCAAGAACTTGTTCTTGATTAGTCATTCTCGCTAATTATGATTAAAATTAATAGTTAATATAATTTATTAGTTTAACAAATGATTCATTAATTGAATCATATCTTATTTAAAATACCAAATATAATTTTTTTTTCAAAAAAAAAAAACTAAAAGAATGTGTTTTCTATAAAATATAATATTTCCAAAAATTGAACCAAAAAAAATACCATGTAAATTATATTATTGATAATTTATATTACTAAATATATATACATATATATATATATCTATACATCAAATGAAACGTTTTTTTTTTATATATATATTCTTAGTCATTCAAATGATATTATGCTTTGGAGAACAAAAGACCACCTTTCCTTAAACAAACAATACTTTGAAACTTTTAAGGTTGTCTATGTTATATTTTCTCTTAATTTTTTTTTTAATTAATTACGGACTAATCATGGGATTAATACATAATTAATTATATATTATTAATTATTTTTATTAATATTTGGGTTATTTCTAAATATACTTTGATTAATTTATTTATTAATTAATGTTTTAGATTGTATTTAAAATTAAAATTAAAATAATAAAGCACGTGAATTGCATGTATTGTATGATAATTATGGTTTGTGGATTAGGGGTTTTGGTTATTTTTTAACCAAAATTCCAGAAGGGCATAATTATCATATCACATGCAATCTATATTTTCAAAAAGAAAAAAGAAAATCTACGGTATTAGTTGGCTCTCAAATTAATTTTTAATATAATTTAATATTAATTTATAAATATAAATTTTTAATTTTTTAATTTTAATTTTTAGTAAAAACGAAATAAATTTTATAGATGATGAAATTAAAAATAATTTTTAAAAAAATTAGTGAAAATTTAAATTCTAATAATATTTTTAAAAGAAAAATCGAAAATTAAGAATATATTTATATGTATGCATATATAAATGTTTGGAATTTGATGGAATAGTGTATGAATTAATTAGGTTATAAGTTGTTATGATGATGTAGATATTTTTCAATTTAATAACCTACTAAGACAAACCAATTTTAATTAAATAAGTGGAAATCTTGAAATCAAACTTAAATCTAAAAAAAAAAAATTAGAACTATGTATATGTATATATATATATATATATTATGATTAGGTATTAAATAATAAAAATATGATAATTTAATGAGAATATAATATGATTAAATTGAAATTATAATTATAATTATATTATATTATTTGGTTCGCAACAACTAATTTCGCATTAATATATTTAGTTGGGTTGAAAAAAATAAAAGTGTATTAAAATTATTGTACTTATTATATGAATGATAGTTTATTAATGTATAGTACGATAATTTCATAATTTTATTTTATTTATCTATATTTATAGATACATTGTATAGTTTTTTTAGTAGTTGCTGTATGATTTTGAAAAATACTATTTTTTTCATTTTTCAAATCATTGACTCGGTAATTTTGTGTGGGTTGAATAATTTTTTTATTTTTTTTTTCATTTATACTCTTATTCTTTTTTATTATTTATATTTATACTCTCATTTTAATTTTTTTCTATATATGCATACCACATTGTCACTTGATTTTTTTTATAAAATATATTTTATTTTATTTTTTTATACAATTTTATAATTCTATCAATTCAAATAGAAACAGTTATTATTATCGTACATTAATATATATATATATAATCTTTTTAAACATAATATAATTTTATTATTATCGTACAATCTTGTATATTAATAAACCATCCTAAAAGCCATCAAAACACACGTTAAATGTTGAAATTTGCATATATTTTAAACACTAATTTTTTTGTTGTGTTGATTAAATTATTTATCGATAAAACGAGGTGATTAAAAGTGTAATTTACACTTTCTTTCTTTCCTTTTTTTCTCTTTGAAAAAGTAAATTGTTAAGGTTATAAACATGATTCACGACCCCATATGCACTAATCATGATTAAAAAAGTTTTACCAAATGAAATTGTGAATTAATGAACAAAACATGATAATTAGATATCTAATTACTTTTATAAGTCTAATTAACCAATAAAATAATCCATCCGTGTATTATTCTTATATAACACGGTCCAAAATTACTTTGTAAAATTTAAATTTTAAATTATGTCTTATCTTAGTATTTAAAATTTAAGATTACTAATTAATATAATAATTTATGCACATTACGCCTTATTAAATGAATTAATTATCCTAAACTAAATTAAAGCCCGATGCCATCAGATTTCGCCACGTGTACGGTTATAAATTAGGAAATGAACAGACGGCTGATGATGATTCATCACATTTTACCAGTGACAGCTCACGCGCTTACCGAAAATTTTCTTCAACGGTAACCTCGCCAAGGCAACTCTTTATAATCCCCACCTTCAGTGTCCCATCTTCCACATTGAAATCTCGAGAATCTTCAACTTCCATAAAAGAAATTCTCAAGCTTCCTCCACATTATTCTTCTCGATCACTCTGTGTTCGCTTAATATCTCTGTATATAATATATATATATACGCAGGTTAAAACACCAAAGTCCCCATATTTGGATTCTGTCATCCGTCTCCATTTTTCCAAGATGGAGTTGCAGAGATATCTCTTGGTTTTCTTTGTTTTAATGGCTTCATGTCTTGTTTATTCTTCCCACGGGTATAAATTCTATGCGGGTGGAAGAGATGGGTGGGTGTTGCACCCTTCTGAAGATTACAATCACTGGGCTGGAAGAAGCAGATTTCAAGTCAATGACATCATCGGTAAGTCAACAATTTATTAGTGTTTGAAAATTGATTAATCTTTCCCGTTTCTAGGTTTTTGATTCACTTCATGTTTGAAATTTTGTTTGGTTGAGTTTAATGGGTGTTTTGTAACTTTTTTTTTTTTTCCAGTTTTCAAGTACAAGAAAGGATCGGACTCAGTTTTGGTGGTGGGGAAAGATGATTACAACAACTGTAACACGAAGAATCCGATTAAGAAAATGGAAGATGGAGATTCTGTTTTCAAGTTTGAGCACTCTGGACCTTTCTTCTTCATTAGTGGAGAGAAAGATAACTGCAAAAAAGGACAGAAACTCATCGTTGTTGTCATGGCCGTGAGGAGTCCTAAGTCATCTCCTGCTCCTGCAACTTCCCCTGTTTCTCATCCTCCCAAGTCATCCATGGCGCCATCTCCTCATACAAACCCTCCTGCATCATCTTCTTCCCCAATAACCAGTCCTCCCTCTGAAGCTCCATCTCCAACGGCACAACCTCCAGTAGGGTCTCGTCCTCCATCACAGAGAGGTGAGTCGACTCTGTCACCGGCACCGTCGTCGTCGCAGTCCGGCACGCCGTCTGATATCTCCGCCCCAGCTCCGGCGCCGAGCAAGTCACCGGAAACCACGAGGCGTTACTCGGGCTTGTTGGGTTTATCAGTTGGTGTGGTTTTGAGTGTGGTTTTGGGTGCTTAAATGAATAAACTTATTAAATTCATGGGTTTTTTTTTTTTTTTAAAAAAATAATTAACTTATTATACTAAACAATGATTTCTTTGTTTGATTTTTTTTTTAATTTTTTGAAGTTTTTTTTGTTTGAATTTGATGTTATTAATTAATTTTTTGGATTGTTGATGATGTTTGATAAATATATATATATATATATATATTGTGTAAAGAGTTTATATTAATATTTAATAAAAATTTATATTTATTTGTAAGATTTTTTATTATAATTTTATAGTGTATTATTTGGTGAATATTTAAAAATTTAGGAGTAAATAAATGAAAATATAAAAATAAAAAAGAGTATAAGATAAACATGTCAAAAACTAATAATTATAAAATTATGGAAAATTTAGTTCTAAATATATTTTATATTGCTTTAAATATATATTTTTGAAGATCATGAACATATATTTATAGACTCATACTATATTATCAAATACGAGATTAATTAATAATATATTTATAGAATTGTCTTCCTACAATAAGAATTCAAATCTTTTAAATATATATATGTATAAATAAAACGTATTATTTTATATTAAACATAATTATTTTACATCCTTAAAATGTAATTATTAAATATGAGACTAATTAATGATATATTTATAAAATTGTCGTCCCATGAATTCAAATCTTATATATATATATATATATGTATAAAACATGTTATTTTATATTAAATATAATTATTTATCATCCTTAAAACGTAATTATTAAAAATATGATTAATGATATATTTATAGAATTGTCTTACTGTGATAAGAATTCAAATCTTTTAAATATATATATGTATATGTATAAAAAACGTGTTTTATGGAGTCTTGTTAACCAAGATGATTTATGTATGTTTATGAAGACAATTAATGATTGTTTTATATCCAATTTTATTTTGTCCAAAGATTATGTTTTGATTGCGTGAAAATCTACGAGAATCAAATAAGAACCCAGAATAATTATCATATACCATGTATGTATATATGTACATGGTATATAAAGTATGCCTAATATATGTATGTATATATACGTATATATACATTCCTCAAAATGATATCATGAACAAAAATAAAATTTAAAATAAACCCATTAATTTAAGTATTTTTTTTAACATCATCTAGAAAATGACAGCCATTATTTTATTATATTTATACATGTGTACATATAATATATATATATATATATATATATATATATATGATATATAAACAAGAGGATAGGAACAAGCCATGTATCATGGCTTGTGAGAGAAGCAGATGCCACTCTGCACCCAATTCATAAGTCAATTGTTTGCAGGCCCCATAACACAGCGCTGAATTTATTACACAATTCAAGATGCTTTAATACACTATTACAACACCATATATACATATATATATATATACATGTATACATATATTTACATTTTAAATATATACAGGAAAATAATGATATTGTAAGATTTTGTCAGCCGTGTACTCCCAGAAAGTTCGAGTAATAACGAGGTTTCACTTCTAGTGATGATTTCAATTGGATTCTTGAATAAGACACACAAAAATTGTAATTTTTGAATTATAGTATAAATGATCATAATTAATTCTTTTAGAATGTGTTAGTTTTTTACACTTAATGATTTAATTTTCACTGAATTAAAAAAAAAAATTAATCACTTTATAGACATATACATATATATATATATATATACATACATACAAATCTATATATACCAATATTGTAATTTCAAGTGAATCTCGGAATAGTTACTGATATATTAATTTTATTGTTGGTTCAAAAATTTGTGCATAAAATAATTTATATATTATTAGAATACTACAGTTGATAATCATCAATTTTAAAACATAAACACATAATTATAAAATATAGCCCCTTTGATTATTAATTTTATTATAGTATGTATATATATATATATATATATATCAATCAATCAATACAATTATATTCCAATATAATCATTCACTGTATCAAAATTTAGAAAAATTATGGGAGTTTTTATAATTATCTTAAAAGACTAACCAAAATTCATTATGATGACTATTTTCTACTGTTCCATAAATAAATAAAATTTGAGGGTAACTTATAAAATCAAAATATGTATTGGTGTATGCACACGTGTCCCATATGTTCAAACAAGAAATGCTCTATATACATTGAATATTTATAGCTGATGTAGAATATTGGTGTATGTATATGTGTTACATATGTTCAAAAAAAGAAATGCTCTATATACATTGAATAGTTATAGCTGTTGTAGAATATGAAGTGTGAAGTATACTTGTTCTGGTTTACTATGAATGGGACCAAGAACAGGCAAGTTTGATAAGGCTTTTTTTTTTTTTGTTTGTTTGTTTGTGTTTGTTGTGTATGTAGCAAGATGATGTTATTTTTTTGGTGTTTTCTTCATAATACATAAATTGGCTTCTCAGTTCACATTCATTTAGTCAAATGCTGCTATCGGACCAGGTGTAAGTTTATTTGCGAGAGTATATGGTGTCTACGTATTCAAATTTCAACATCGACGTCAAAATCCATCAACATCTATGAAATCAAACTCTTCATCATATAATTGTGATATCATCCAGTCTGATCAGGGAAACCTAAGGGAAAATTTGTAGCAACTAAGGAATTCTATAGTACTAAATCACAGTAATCTGTATCTTCTCTAGTGATACATCTCGTTAAGGAATAGAAATAGAATAAACAATAATACAGAGTCGTGCAGAGACTAATAATAGAAATGCTGCTTTGACTAAAACATGGCATGATACAAAATGAAGAGATGAGAAGAAGTTAGAGCGTGTACCACTTATGTGCGGATCAAATTCATTATTGATTGAAACCAACTCTGTTTAGAAGAACCACCATCTTCTTTGTCGACGGCTCTGAAACAAAAATAGAGACAAGTAGCCAAAATTATTGCATCATGTTGAATGATGGTTCAAAGTTCAAACTGTAACAAAGAGAAGATGCAGATCTTGCATATTATATATGTAGAGAGAGAGGCTACATCATCTTGGGAACTTCATGTTCTACCTCAAAATATTTTATGAAGCACGACCAAAAATTTCATCTGAATCAGTTACGTTTCTGTTTTTGACGGAGGGACAAAAGGCATAATATATAGGTTCTATATCCAATTCAAATTAAATCCTTTTATGATTCTTTCATTGACAAGTGAGAATATAAATTCAGTATAGTGGAACTGACCATATAAGTGAAATTGATTCAATTATGTATCAAATATGTATATTATATAACTAATTTTACTTATGAAATAATTAAATTTAAAAACTGAACAGAAAGTATAATATATTTAAACCAAAAGCAACCTAAACGAAGTGAGCTAAAAGAAAAAGAACAAACCTTCTTATTCTGATTTTGGGATTCTATTATAATAGGCTGAGGAAGGACAGCATTGCCAGTGTTCTTGAGGTATGGCCGTACCTTCTCTTCCAACATCTCATTCAACTGAAAATTGAAAAACATACATATATATACATTCACTGTATCAAACTTAAAGCAAAACTCATTCCAGGAGAATCTGGAGTACTTTTAAGCAAAAACTCATGGTATCTGCATATAAGCATGTTCGTATAAATTGGTTGCTTTTATATGAGATGTTTGCATAAAAATGGTTGCCTAAAAATGAGATGCATCGGCATGTGAACATGAGATGTTTGCATAAAAATGGTTGCTTTTATATGCAAACATCTCATATTCACTTCAAGGTTACTTTCCACGGAACTTTGATATTTTTTAAACAAAAATATACAACTGAAAGAAAGTAACTTCATAGCTTTTACCCAAACACACCAGATTTTAATATAGTACTCCTTCAGATAATTAACAGGTCATGAAAATGCAAACAGTACATAAAAATTTTAATAAGTCAGGGGGAAAAGAATCAAATTCAGAATTGCATATGTAGAAGAGAATGATGTCCACAATTGAAAGAGGTCATTGTCGCATATTTAACATACATTACACTTTTTTCATTGGAATAGATAAAGTGAAATAACTAACCTTTTCTTGACGCCATTTTGTTTCCCACTGTGCATCCAAAATTTTATCGGCAATTTCTCTTTGAGCGTTAAGAAGAATCGTCATCTCATATAATTTTGCTGGATCTTTGAGATCCTCCTCCCTCCAAGAAGATGCATTCAAGGGAAGGTTCAGCTCCTGCCAAAGCTCTGAAGTTAGTTCAATTGTCCTCCAACTATAAATCTATTAATAGTGATACGTGCATGCATATTGAAAATTATAGATATAAGAACCATAACAAATAAAGGAATGTCATAGGATACTCACACCCCAATTTTGTGGTCGGGGTGGAGGATTCAGTTTCATAACTTCCGCCTCTAAGGCCTTCTTGGCCTTGTAGTAAGGGATATTCTTCACTATAACAGGATCTTCCCTAGCACGAACAGGATCTATGGAGATCAAGGCCTGCAAATGATACAAAATTTAAGATTGAAAAGTTAGAACAAGGGAATCAATCTTGCAATGTCACAAGTTAGAACAAAGATCCCAATCCTGTGACATCACTAGGTGATGCAGGACAAGTAGCAGGGAAACTAACTTGTCTCATGTATAGTTTAAAAATAAAGAAAATTCAAATGAGAAACAAAGGAATAAAAGTATACCTCAGGAAATGGAGAAAAGGTGAATAAATATATGAAAAAATGTACTAAACGGAATAAATTAGTTATAACAATCAAGAAGAAAGAAAGTAAAAAGATAACAGGGAATAAAACCCTAGTAAATGTGTTTTTAATTTATCATCATCTATATTTGTTATGAATAGCAAGAGGAATGAAGACAAAAAGATAACAGGAATAAAACCCTGACAAATGAGTTTTTTATTTATTATCGTCTATCTTTATTGTTAATAGCTACTAGCTCTTGTGTAGGCATTTATTACAATTAACAAAAGAAGTATCAAATAAAAAGAGGAAACCAAGGGTTTTATAACTTAAAAATCTATCTCAATAGCCTAAGTTTCTATAACTTAAAAACTAACTTAAATAAGCTAAAGAAATTAATGATAGTAAATAATAACAATAACAACATTAATCTTTCTTAGTGCTGAAATTATTCTTGTTTAGGATTCTTCTGTTCTACAATATTAGGCATATTTCCCCCCCAACAAAAGGTAAACGAGCTTCTTTATGAGCATTATTTTTAGTTGGCATAAAAAACGTTTTGAAAAATGATTACGCCCATTATGATCAATAAAGAAGAGATATTGGATTATGCAGGCATATATGCGTGAAAGAGAGTGATTACAGCTCCATTCAAGTTTCACTTAAAAATAGTTAATTTATTCTATTTTCTGTTCCATATAAGTTGCTGTTTTGGTTCACAAGTCACTGGTCACCATCCAACTTGCATGAAAAGCCATAGCTGGGTTATTCCATCAGATAACTAATATCTCAGAAAAAATCACATCTAATCATGAATCTTTAGGAAAACACTATAAGTGAATTTTGATTATCTTGAGAGCATCTTACTTCTTGCAAATACTCCCAGCCTGGATTTCGCTTGGCTACTGTATCTCGAAGTTGATCATACCGCATTGATTCCTGAAAGCAACAAAATCAAACAGTCACCATAACACACTGATTTGCTTAATATTGTAGCAGAAAGATGTAAAACCAAAGGGTTAACAACATTCTACTATCAACTTTTCAGATACCAGTGGGTCTATCATAGAAGACGCACTACGACTTTTCTGGTCCATATGTGGGATATAGTTAATATCAGTGTTCTGGGAAGGTTGCTAGAGCTTTTTGGAAGGTTAAAGTTCCCTCAAAGGTTTAGTTTTTTGTCTGGACAGCAGTTCTGAATAGGCTCAACACTAAGGAATTGTTGCAAATTCGCAAACCAAACCGCACTCTTCCCCAAACATGTATTATGTGCTTCAGGGAGGCTGAGTCCATTGTCATCTTTTCCTACATTGTGAGGTGGCTTGGAGGCTGGTGGTCTAGGATTTTTATATTTTTAGCTTTATGTGGGTCGTTATCTTTCGTTAAGTGCTTCATTCAAGTCATTTCGAGGGAGGGTGGTTCAAGAAGGAAGCTAGGGTGCTTCAAAGAGCTCTTTTGACTGGTTTCTGTATGTGTGCTTGGAGTGCTATTTTAGACTTTTCAAGGATCGTTATGACCTTCTTTCTTTTCTTTGGGACATATTGTTTTTCTCTGCTTCTTTGCCCACTCAGTAATGCTAACTTGGGAGGAGACAAAAGACTTGAATATAACAAAAAAGAAAAAAAGAAAAACTCATCTTTAAAAGCTTTTCTGATATATGAACTATTTGACTATGGAAGAGTTGGTGAACATTGTTTTGACTCGTAGCTCTAAGATGACTAGCATGCTTTCTATACGTAGTGGTTGAGTGCTATTTTAGACTTTTCAAGGATCATTTTTACCTTCTCTCTTTTCTTTGGGACAAATTGGTTTTCTTTGTTTCTTTATGAGCAAAGCCCACATTTTCTTTAGAGATATCTCTTTTGACAATCCTCAAGAACTATTGGCAAACAATGTTGCTTTTAATTTTATGCACTTTTTACAGTTATTTTGACGGAAATATTCTAGTCCTCTGCCACAGTATCTTTTGTCCTTTTTCTAATAGTAATTCTTTTTTCCATTAAACAAGGCCCAGGACAATTTCATGCCTGTGATTTGGGGTTTTGTAAATTTAATACATTTGGTTTATTTATAGTAGTTTTAATATTTGTGGTTTAACTGTTAGTCAAATAATATATAGAGATGACAAGACCCACCCAAATTTGCATGATGCACTCGACCCAAATTCAAGCAAAGGAACTTTTTTATGAAAAAAAGTTTGGTTCGGGACAAGGTGGATATGGTTGGTAGTAAATAATGATCAGGGCGGAGCGAACAAACACCAAGCAAGACATGATTACATGACTTTGTCTCCTTTTTGCAAAGAAAACAACCATTCACCATAATCTTATCCCTTCTCAACAATTTGTTGATAGTCAATATACGCCCTAGACCGGCCTCCCATGCAAAGAAAGTAATCCTGGGTGGGGGTATTAAACATCCAGATTTGTCAAAAAGGAAACCTGGTTTTTACTGTATCGTACTTAACCAGATAATTATAGAAAGATCTGATCGTAAAAGACCCTACGGTACGGAGACTCCATATTGGTTGGTCATTATTTCTGTCCATTGATGAGAATGAGAGAATATTTAGAAGAATCTCATACTCATCAATCTCTCAATCATTAAGATTTCTCGACATATTCACATGTCATTCCATTTTCCCTCCCACGTCTTCGAATGACTCAACAATCGTGATAAGTTTGTGCCTGCGGCAGCGAAAATCTAAGGAAACTAGTTTATGAGTGCTCCTCCTTTAAGCCAATGATCCTGTCAAAATCCAATTTTGTCTCTCCTGCCAACCAATGCAATTTACTCGTACTCATGCATATTTTATCTGCAGCTCTTTCCCGTGCAGTCTTGCCAAAACTCTGGAGTACCACCCTCTCTCCATTGTACTGAATTTTGCCTCTATCACCTTCCACTACAGAGTACCTTCTTCTTTCATGATCTTCCAAAATCATTTACCCTCTAAGACCAGATTCATCTTCACGAAGGATCTCAACCCCAAACCTCCCTAGACATTGGGTTTTTTTATCTCATCCAATGGTACCAAATGATACTTTCTCCTCTCATCAGAATTGCCCTATAGGAATCTACACTAAATTGACTTCAGTCTCTTGGCAACGCTCATTGGGATTGTTAGAAGGACATGTAATAAATAGGTAGGTCAGCCAAGGTACTTTGATAAATGTGAATCTCCCCCCTTTGGAAAGGAATGCTTCCAAGACAACAACAAAAAGCAATGGAAACAATAGATCTTCTTGTTTAAGACGTCTAGAAGTCTAGAAAAAAGAAGAAAGATCCCCTGTTTACAAGATCCACCTGCTCCACCTGTCCCTGAATTCCATTCTCCGTAGTAAATAATTAAGAAAGCCTCAATTCACATGATCTAATTTTCTCCATATCTAATTTGCAAACCACTCTTCCTCTTCCAGTTTAACAGATCATCCACCACCTTATTGGCAACAAACACAACATCTAGAATTTGCGTTCCTTCCACCAAAGCATGTTGGCACTCACCTACAACTTTATCAATTACCTTGGACATTCTTATAGCCAGCACCATTGCTATAAACTCATAAATACTTCCAGGCTGAATGGTCTGAAATCCTTGATATTAATTGCTCTCTCCACCTTAGCAATAAGTATCCGAAAAGAGGAATTTAAGAATATAACAAAGGATCCAGATTCGTGCAATTCCTTAAAAAGCTCAAGAATATTCTTCTCACTATATGCCAACATTTTTTAAGAAATCTTATGTTAAAATCATCGAGGGTAAGAGCTTAATCCCTTTTACGATGCATGAGTCCCTCAAAAATCTCTTCTTTATTGAACTCTCTTTTAAGTGATAGTTTGTTTGTCTCATCCAAAACCCTAAAATTGATACCATCCAGCTGGGGCTTCCATCCAATTTCTCTTGCTATAAACTGCAGAAGAAATTATGAATCCCTTGCCTCAACTACTCGTTACCTTTCACTACCTTATCACCGATCTTCATCTCCTCCACATAATTATTCCTTGCGTGATGATTTGACATACTATGAAAATATTGTGTTCCTGTCTTCCTTATTTCTCCAACGGGCTCTCGATTTCTGTCTCCAAGACGTTTCTTTCATTTGTAATCTATTTGATAGTTTAAACTTAGAAGATTCCTTATGAGGCAAGTCTTCTATAGACAAATCACCTTCACCCTCCCTCCTATCAATCGTCTCAATCTCCTGAAGTAAAGATAGGATATACATACATTCACTCCTCCCCTCCTCCTTGCTCCACTTCTTGATTTCAACTTTCACAATCTTCAACTTTTGCATTACCTTAAATATGGTCATACAATCTATCGTTGCTCCACTTCACCAATCATTAGACCTTACCACATAAACCATTAACTTTCAACCATTTATCCTCAAATTTGTACTTGACTTTTAGGCCAACCAAAATGTTTGATGTAACCTGTTCATGCTCCTAAGCCACGAGCTTTCTCTATTTCTCCAAAAATCGCTCAAGGCATTGACAAATCACCCCATCTCAACATGCCAAAGAAAATGGAGGCATAACTGCCTCTGCCATTCTCAATCACTGTCACTAAGTCAACATCTCGACCCTCAAGATCAATGCCAAAAGACCGACCATAAATCACTGAGTAGAAGAGGTTGGCATGAGAAGTGGAGGGAAGACCAAATAGAAGGGCCTAGCTAGAAAAGAGAACAGAAGCTTTCTTGCGAGAGAGGATATCACTATTCGCTGTTTCCTTTGCTGAATCTAACTTAGCCACACGTCCTTTCTTGAATCAATCATTTGTCTTTCCTCGTTATGTTAGACCACTAAATTTCCCATAATAAAGAGTAAGAAGCTCAAAAGAGCTGATACACTGTTTCATTCTTATTTTTTCTCTATGGTTTTTTCTTCAGAAGATTCTATTGGTGGCTTAAAACTGCAGGAATAACTCAAACATTTTAGAAATTATAGAAATAATAATCTCCAAAAAAAAAGAGAGAATATGAAACTAAATAGTCAAAACAATATGATCAAGTAAACACAGACTAACAAAGTAGTTAAGAAACCTCATATTGCCACCAAATCTTTTGCTTGACCTCGTCATCATAGTTGAATCCGCCCATAACCTGAGGTAAGGTAATCAGCCAAAATGCTGCAATACTGGGATCTTTCATGCTGTGAACAATATGCTGAAATAGAAAACATGGTTAACAATATTAAATTAGAAAATTTTAAATTGATATTTACATAAACAGTCACTACTCACCTATTCTGGAATACTACATCAACCCACTTATTACTTGAGTAAAGACATAAATTACAAGATTTATATGAAAAAGTAGAAAAACCAACGGAATAATGTGTTCCTGCAAAAAAGATTAAAAAAACATGGATAAAAATGTAGCCAGCCACTAAACCGACAAACTGCTCCAGCATCCAACAAAGAATTCCATTCAGTTGCCTAAATAATGCAAAATGGGTTATTTCCTAAATAGATTAAAAATAATAATTCTTTTAAATATAAAACTACTATACTATGTAGAAGTATATTATTGTAGCTTTAGTAACTTAGGATTTCTATTTTTATTAGTACTTTTCTATTTGTATTAGGAGTAGTAGTCCTAATTCTACTATTTTACTAGTTTTTAGTTTAACTCTATTTAAAATATGTTATTTAAGAAATTATGACACGTAGTTCTGTAATTTCACTTATTGGAGGTAGTTCAGTTATTTAATAATATATTATGAGAGTTTCTCAATTTCTGATTGTGTGTTACAATCCAGCTCTTAAATGTGATGCTTAAAACTTCTTAATATGATGTCTAAAAAACCCTATATGCAAAGTCTAGATTTTTTTATCTAAATCCCTAATTGGACAAATCAATCATATTTATCCTACATCACTAAAACCAATCAGTTAGAAAAGCAGCCTGAATATATTCAATTCTTAAGCTATCTTTCGCCCTCGCCTTAACTGAATGCATGCCTCTCTATAACAAATCTACAGATGCCAGAAAATCCCAAAGATTAATCTATTTCATATAGAAACATTCAATCATATTCCCACAATGATAACATCTTATCACCTAAAACAGCCTAGATACTGCAAATCCTACGATAGATATTATACCATATGTTTGCAGGCTGAAGTTGTGCACCTTTCTGCTTTTTTTGCGAAGGCTGGTGAAATTTACCCTAACACTCCTAATGTATGTTTTTGGTTATGGAATACAAAATTACAAAAAAGGTATCAAAATAAAGTGAAAATATTTTTATTATGTGATAATGATCTGTATGATAAAAAATAAGTTACTACATTATAAATATAAAACAATTTATAACATAAAAAGATATTGAAATAATGATGATATTAATAATTTGAGCAGAGGAGTGGTAAGAAATAATAATAATAATAATAATGATAATCATGAAGCAAGCTATAGAATATTATATACGAAAACCCAGAACTGACCTCATATGGATAATCCATCTTTCTCAGGACATTGTAGGCTTTCCAGGGAGGTTCCATGATCTGCAGAAAACAAGTAATTGAGCAAGGACATTTTTTACTGATCAGCCAAAAGATTAGATCCTAATGTCAACACCGCAAATATCTGATTTCACTTTACAGAACTTGGAACATCTTTTTTTAAGGGAGATAATAATAGTTGGACCGGTTATATAGGTCTGACTATATATGGATATATATATATATAAATGGCCTGACTATATGTGATCATCAAAATCTAATTTTATTTATATCAACAGCGTACATAAAATATCATATCAGGCATGTGTTCTGGCCACTGTTAAAGGTGCTAAAGCTCAGAAACTACATCTTTTAGGGGGCTAACAAACCTTGCAGCATAGAGAGTTGCAATTTACTACTTGATTAATCAATTAAATAATATGCCTCTCTTCATCATTTTTTAACAACAGTCATCTCTCATTCAACCAGAGTTAGCTCAAAGGCTCCGTGATGTAGAACAAATAGAACGTGAATACAAACTTAGAGAAATTTTACTAAGAACGAAACTTAAATATACTGAATATCTCAGTATTTGAATAACAACCATAAGTAATCTACTAAACAACTAAACTAGGGTACTTTATTTATAGGCACTAAATTACAATTGAAATTTTCATCAGAAAGCTCAAAGGTTAAGACTTTACATCATTCGTCACTTCAAACTCGTGGATGAAC